TGAACAGCTGTTTGGACCTCCTTTCGAGAGCAACAAGAAAACAGGGTCAACAGTGGATGAGCTACGGGATTACTGCCAGCAGACGCCCCACAATGGATACCCCTCTGGAGGGGTGGGCACACAACGCAAACCACTTCCCCCGTTTAAATAAGCTTTCCAGGAGCTAGCTAGCTCCAGCACCCCAAGTGAACGGATGTTTTCCCTGGCAGGCACCCGACAGCGGTCAAGCCTCCTTCCCTCACATGTTGATGCTTCGGTCTTCCTCAACGCAAAACAAAAAACCTGGTGTGGACATCGTTATCGAGGAGGACAGTGACAGCGAGTAAAGTGTTGCGCAATGCGCACTGGATTTACGTTGCATTTATGTTCTCAACAGAGTTTTAGCAGTAGATTTGGTGAGTCCAGTTACTGTTTTTTATTGAATCAGCCACGTAACCCAAATTAAAACGCTGCTGTGTTACAGTGTTTAACTTAACTGTATGCATTGCAATACAAGATACAGTGTTACACCTCTCTTTGTGTGTCTTTATTATGACGTAACAACTAGTCGACTAGTCGACTACTATTCTGAAAAACTTGTCGACTGGTAAATATTGGTAGTTGTGAAACCCCTATTGCAGATGATGCGTTTTTCCCCCCGGTACCGGGGGGATGGAGTTCAACAGGTTAAACGGATCGTCTCCAGGGTCCTCTAAGGTGAGCATATCCCCGTGTTTTGCTAAAGCTACGTTGTGTCTTGTCTGTATTTGCTTCCCCTGTCACGAGTTCTGATCGCTCAGTGATGATCCGTATATTTCTATAATCTGTGGACTCTCAGGATGTTAGCTAAGCTTGTTTGTGCAGATCCAATAAGTATATCGATCAGTGTAGCTAGAGTTCTGTGCTAACGTCTCCATGTGTTTGACCACTTCACAATCAACCAGATCTGATTTTAAATGGATTAATGAACAGATTTGATCTCTCAGGTTATTTTATGTATTGCTCTTCTCTCTCACCACAGATGAACTCCGGCGTTCCCGAAGCCGATGCCGGCGAACACGCTGGCCAGATGCATGCTGGACCGCGCCTCCAGATCCTCAGGGTCCCGCACCGCGCTGTCAACAAACAGACAGACAGACAAACAAACAGACAAAATTTTGATTTTTTTTTTAAAACTATCAAAAATGTGGAGATTTTGTGAAAAATTCAAAATGTGGAGATTTTTTGAACAGTAAAAATGTTGGCGAAAAAAATCTAAATCTTGAGATTTTAAGAAAAAAGTTAAAATGTTGAGATTTTCTTTAAAAGCCAACATTTTCTGAAATAGTCAAGAGTGTTGAGATTTAGAAAAATGTGGAGAAAAGCCAACATTAGATTAGAAACTTCCTATGAAGGGAACAGGGATTTACAAAAGAACTTCTGGGACCTACTTCCAGTCTGCAGTGTAATCTATATAGTGTTACAAATATAAAGTATAAAGGTCATTTCAAAAATAAATATCTCTTTGTTTTTTTGTTTCTATTGTTCTAGTGTAAATCTGATCTGGGGTTCCTCAGGGCTCCTGTTGGGATCCTCTGGTTCTGCGCTCACCGCTTCATGAACTGAGCGACGACGCGCAGGGCGTGGCGCGACCACACGTCGCTGATGGGGTTGGAGCCCTGATAGGCCGGGCGGAGCAGCGGGTCGGGGGGGCACGGGCTCCTCTGGTGGTACGGCAGCGCCGTGTAGGACTCCAGAGCGTGACTACACAATACACAGTATCATCATTATTATTATTATTGTAGTGTGTGTGTCTGTGCCTGTGTGTGTGTGTGTGTGTGTGTGTGTGTGTGTGTGTGTGTGTGTGTGTGTGTGTGTGTGTGTGTGTGTGTGTGTGTGTGTGTGTGTGTGTGTGTGTGTGTGTGTGTGTGTGTGTGTGTGTGTGTGTGTGTGTGTGTGTGTGTGTGTGTGTGTGTGTGTGTGTGTGTGTGTGTGTGTGTGTGTGTGTGTGTGTGTGTGTGTGTGTGTGTGTGTGTGTGTGTGTGTGACGTGTGAGTGTGTGTGTGTCTGTGTGTGAGTGTGTGAGTGTGTGTGTGTGTGTGTGTGTGTGTGTGAGAGAGAGAGAGAGAGAGAAAGAGTATGTGTGTGTGTGTGTGTGTGTGTGTGTGTGTGTGTGTGTGTGTGTGTGTGTGTGTGTGTGTGTGTGTGTGTGTGTGTGTGTGTGTGTGTGTGTGTGTGTGTGTGTGTGTGTGTGTGTGTGTGTGTGTGTGTGTGTGTGTGTGTGTGTGTGTGTGCCTGTGAGTGTTTGTGTGTGTGTGTGTTTGTGTGTTTGTGTGTGTGTGCCTGTGAGTGAGTGTGTGTGTGTGCCTGTGTGTGTGTGTGTGTGTGTGTGTGTGTGTGTGTGTGTGTGTGTGTGTGTGTGTGTGTGTGTGTGTGTGTGTGTGTGTGTGTGTGCGTGCGTGCCTGTGAGTGAGTGTGTGCGTGTGCGTGTGTGTGTGTGTGTGTGTGTGCGCCTGTGAGTGAGTGTTATTGTGTGTGTTTACCAGAGCACATCGAAGCCACTGTTAGCAGCGACTCTCTCCGGCATGCTGAGAGTGTGCAGTGGATCCACGATGCCCAGCGTCGGTCTTAGAGCTCTGCTGGCAATACCTGCACACAGACAGCCAATCAGAGAGCTCTACTGCAATAGACAGCCAATCAGAGAGCTCTACTGCCACAGACAGCCAATCAGAGAGCTCTGCTGCACAGACAGCCAATCAGAGAGCTCTACTGCCACAGACAGCCAATCAGAGAGCTCTATTGCCACAGACAGCCAATCAGAGTGCTCTACTGCCACAGACAGCCAATCAGAGAGCTCTACTGCCACAGACAGTCAATCAGAGAGCCAATCAGAGAGCTCTGCTGCACACAGACAGCCAATCAGAGAGCCCTGAGTTGGATGTATGTATATATATATAAATATGTTATATATATATTATTATTTACCTGTCTTGGCCTTCAGAGGCTCGTAGTCGAAGATGGCGACGCCGGTGGTCTCGCTGCCGGTGCCGGCCGTCGTGGGAACTGAGAGGGGAATAGAGACCAGCAAGAAAACTGATTTATTTACTTTATTAAAGTGACTGGAACATGTAATAATGCCAGAAATTCATTTCATTATATATTTAGAACAAATATTTAAGTTTGCCAAAACGACCGGAAGAGAACAATAAAATAATTGAATATAAAAATAAAACTGAACATCCATAATGTTTAATAAATATCTTAAGCATGAAGTGAATACAATGTGTAACAGTGAGTTGAGCCTCTATGAGAGTTAAATGTAGACATGTATCGATTAGGATAAACCCCTTGAGATGCACCGAGGGGGTCCCGACAGGAGCCACGTCTCACAGACAGACATGACCAAAATAACAGAGAGCAAAGCAGGACAGTCTGAAACTGTGATAGACCACTTTCATCAATAACAAGAGCAGCTGAAAGGGAGGTCTCGACCTGCGATGAGGGGCTTCAGCGCTCCGGTCACCGGGCGGCCCTTTCCGATTGGAGCGTTCACAAAGTCCAGGAAGTCAGCGTCGGGGTGACAGGCATAGAGATTAGCTGCTTTACAGGTGTCAATCACAGAGCCCCCCCCCACCGCCACGTACACATCGAAGCAGTCGCTCTTAGCAAAGGAAATGGCCTCTTTAAAACTGAAAAACACACACACACACACACACACACACACACACACACACACACACACACACACACACACACACACACACACACGTTTAAACCCCCTCTGACCCCCCAGGTATTATCAATTACCCTCAAGATTCCCCCCAGGTATCAATAACAATATCTGTTTATATATATTTTATATTCCATTTCTATGTAAACACTGCTATATTTTTACATTAATGTTATTGAGTATGTCTGCACCACGACATCAAGTCAAATTCCTCGTACGTCTAAACCTACCTGGAGATAAACCTGATTCTGATGAATGACCCTCTGACCCCCCAGGTATGATCTGACCCCCAGGTATGATCACCCTCTGACCCCCCAGGTATGATCACCCTCAGACCCCCCAGGTATGATCTGACCCCCCAGGTATGATCACCCTCTGTCAGCTACCTGGTGTCAGTCGGCTCCACCCTCACGCTGTCATAGACCCTGAAGCGCACCCCGTTGTGAGACAGGGACTCCAGCACTGCTTTCACTGGAGGGAGGCGGGACAAGTTGCTGTCCGTCATCACACACACATTACGGGCCCCCAGGTTCCTCACGTCCTGCAGGAGGAGAACCGGGGGAGAACCGGAGGTGAGAGAGGAGAACCGGAGGAGAGAGAGAGGAGAACCGGAGGAGAGAGGAGAACCAGAGGAGAGAGAGGAGAACCGGAGGGAGAGAGAGGAGAACCAGAGGAGAGAGAGAGGAGAACCGGAGGAGAGAGGAGAACCAGAGGAGAGAGAGGAGAACCGGGGGAGAGATGATGTTTTTTATTTTTTATTATTGTTCTGAATTTTGTGTTCCTGTTTGCTGCATGTTTGTATTTGTTTGTATTTGATTGTATTTGTTTGTATTTGATTGTATTTGTTTGTGTTCCTGTTTGTATTTGTTTGTATTTGTTTGTGTTGATTGTTGAAAGTGAAATGTGTCTCCAGGCTGACGTGCAGAGTCTGTCAGGACTTCAGATGAGAAATCACTTTGACAGAGATGTTGATTCATGTGCTGTCCCTGTTCAATACATGGATAAACACAAACGTGATGATGATGATGTGATGATGACAGTTTGGTTACCATGCCGATCTCTCTGCTGACTCCCTCTCCGTACCGGATGTTGGAGCTCGCCATCTGAAGGAAAAAACAATTAATAATAAAATAAAATGTAAAAACAGTTATTCAGATAATTCTGCATTCGTTCGTTCATTCGTTCGTTCTTTCGTTCGTTCGGTCGTTCTTTCGGTCGTTCTTTCGTTCGTTCTTTCGTTCGTTCTTTCGTTCGTTCGTTCTTTCGTTCGGTCGTTCTTTCGTTCGTTCTTTCGTTCGTTCGTTCTTTCGTT